AAATAATAAAAGTGCACCAAAGATGGTATTCGCGAAGATAGCGTCGTTCATAACGGCTCCGAGTCTTATACTCCAGTTGTTGACCATTTCGATGATACAAATCGAGCGTCAGATGGAATACAACAAACTTCTGGAGGAGAAGCAAAAGTTCTCGGAATACGACTACATAATAGTGGGCGCCGGAGCGTCGGGCGCACCCATGGCTAACCGACTCACCGAAGACGCCAACAACTATGTGCTGCTCCTGGAGGCGGGCGGACAGCAGTCGGTGCTGAGCGACATCCCGGGCACGGCTGAGATGTTGATCGACAATCCGGAGTTTGATTGGCGCTATCCGACGGTTCCGCAGAAGTACTTCACCGAAATCCCGATGGACTGCAATAACGGGAAACGGATCGGCGGTTCGTCGGCTCTGAATGGCATGATTTACAATCGGGGAAATCGTCGCGATTTCGACAGTTGGGTCACGAAGTATGGCGCGAAGGGATGGAGTTATGAGGAAGTGTTGCCCTATTTTATGCGCTCCGAGAATAACACGGACGCACTGCTCGTCAAACAGAATCCCGGCCTTCACGGCACCGCCGGACCCATGCAGGTGTCCACTGACCCAAACCCGGCCCCTCTATTGCGTTTGCATCAACAGGCGCTCAACTCCATAGGCATACGAAGTATGGACATCAACGGCGCCAACCAATTGGGCACAACCATAGCACAGGCCACCGCTGCCAACGGTGTTCGCTCCAGTACTGCCAACGCCTATATAGACCCCAACCCTCATTCCGGTAATTGTTTTCGTCGATCATATAATTAACATTATTTTATTAATTTATCGGTTTGTCTGCAGATAATCTAAATATACTATTGTATGCTTTCGTGACAAAAATATTGTTCACAAAGACTCATAACGGCATCACTGCTACGGGTGTTGAGTATATAAAGGATGGGTACAGACATACGGTTACCGCCAGAAAGGAGGTCATACTCGCAGCTGGTATTGAATTTGTTATAAATAATGTATTTTCAAGATATAAAAAATAATGGTTAATATAATTTAATTTATTAAAAGGTGTGATTCGATCGCCACAACTGTTGATGGTGTCGGGTATCGGCCGCAGACATCACTTGGAAGAGTTTGGTATTCCAGTAATAGCTGATCTGCCGGTGGGCGACAACCTGATGGATCATCCGGCCGTCTCCATACACATGTGGATTAAGGACCAGACCATTGGAACTCCTGGACCGCAGATGTCTGTCGAGCAGATGTATCAGTTGTGGACAACACAGAGCGGTCCGTTGGCCTACGCCTCCGACAGCATAACGTATCTCAACTCTCGGCACAACAATCAGACGGATTGGCCGAACCTATACTTCTACACAATCGTACAAAACGTGCTAAACCTGGACTCACAGGTGTCCGAAATGGCAGGCGATGAGCAAAGGCTCGCCGAATGGCGAAACTATTTCCGGCCGTATTTGGGTCGTTGGCTAACAATGTCGGCGCCGCACGTCTATCGGGCCCGCAGTTGGGGTTCCGTACGATTGCAGTCTAAGGACATGCAAGTCGTGCCTCTCATAGATCAGGGATTTTTGAATGACCCGCGAGACAGAGACGACTTGATTGAAGTGATTAAGTTTGTCTACTATTTCCTGTTGCGGTCGCCGTTCTCTCAATACGTCGAGCCCATGAAGGATCCCATCCCTGGCTGTCATTACTGTAAAGACAAACCTCTATACGATTGCGACCAATACATCGATTGTCTGATCCGAATGACGGGCAAATCGGGCTGGCATTTGGTGGGCGGCGCCCGTATGGGTGACCCCCACCGCTCTGATGTGGTGGTCGACCCGCGCGGACGCGTGAAGTACGTGTCGGGACTGCGGGTATGCGACTCATCCATTATGCCTGAGTTAATCAACGCCAACACATATGCGGCCAGTATTATGATCGGCGAGAAGTGTTCAGATATGATCAAACAGGACAACAATTACGCTCACAATCATCTCAAGAAATAAATATACAAACATTTGGTTTATTGATTAGATTGTTATTTAATTTAAATATAATTCTCTTAATTATGATTTGCATAAAACAAACGCCCGTTTCTTACAAACAAAAGTCAAGTATTAATACATTTATATGTATTTTTGAATAAAAAGTTTACGTTAACTTACGTTTGATCTAAATTCATAATTTGATTAAAAGCAACACTTAATTTAAAATAATTTCCTATTTGTTTATTAAATAAAAAATTCATTAAAGATTGTGTTATAATTGTGTGTTTGAAATCTTAAGTGTTATAATTGTTTGATTTTTTCATTCAATTAATGCATTCAAAAATAAATTAAAAAGAGAAAATTGACTTTGAAATGTGTTTCAAAAATTAAAAACATTTAACAGTAAAATCAAAATACAAATAAATAGTATCTGATAAAATATTCTAATGTTATTTAACTAAATGTAATCCATAAATGTAAAATCTCAATAAATCCCAAATACAAACAATAATTTATAAAATAATAATTTAATGTTTGTCTAAACACTTTCAGTCAACTCATACTTTATACTTAAAATGTGATCACTCTATCGTTTACATACAGAATAATTGGGTCTAACATGAAAAATGTACGGCTAAATCTATATTTTTACACTTGATCATTTAAACTATTTAAAAACTATTATTCTTATATTTGTTTAACGTATTGGTATATCGACAACTGTTTGAATCAAACCATCGCTCAATGGATTGGATGTGAAGAAGTTGTTAAAGTGAAGACAACTGAGACAACTGTGCCAACAAAGCTATACAAAGCCAACAGTGAATACACAGAACTTGTGATATTAGTGGTCATTTCGGTGGCCATAATAGCGGTGCAAATAGTATTTATTGCCCACAAAGAGTGGACTATATATCGGAATAGAGTTTATGGAATCTGTAAAATATCGGAACAAATGACCGATAGTTTAGATAATAAAACTGTAGATAAATGCGATAAAGACATCGGCGAACTAAACAGCGATATCTAATTCGTGATTTGATTTGATTATGATTTTAATTAAATTAATTTTTAATAAAACAACTTTTATTACTGGAAAATTTTTGTTGAAATACATGTATTAAAGACTAATTAAAATAATTGTCAATTGTTTTATTATTTATTTAGTTTTCAATTTCATTCAAACTCTTCGCATGCAAATCAACTGATAAATAAGTTATTTATAAATATCGCGCTAAATTGTTAATTTTTAATGTTTAAATTATTTTATAAAATTCAGTTATAATTTAAAAATCAATTACAAAACAATTAATTAAACACAAAATTGAAATTTCTTGTAATCCAATGGAACCGTTAAATCAAATGACAAATCATAATACCATAAATGCGATCAATACTATTGCAAAACATGACGATAACAATGCGGAAACACCGAAACCAATGGCCAGAGTTAAGCCGATATTGAGTTTGTTTGTACGCCGAGTGCGGCGACAGAAGAGACAAAAGTCCGTCAAATGGAGACCCAATTCAGAGATCGAAAGCATCCGTTATTTCGATCTCAATGAGAGTCCAAACGTTTATTGCAATCAAAGAACAGGGAATTCAAAGGATAATCAATCGACAACTGAATGGAAACTCATTCCCATTGCTGTCGGCGGGAAGAGTGAAGAAAACCACCACAAAAGGGGCCGAAACTCTATGGAAAGTCTGCGGCGAGCCATCAGTTTGGCCGCCGCTAACGATCCGACCATTAGTTGTGGTCAAAGACTTTCACCGCAAGAGTTAGAAGTGATGTCCACTCGAAGTATGAAAACATATTCCCCTAACGTATCAAAGGCTTTGTGTTTTGATTGACTAAACCATGGATTCAAGAATTTATTAACATAATTATTGATTAAAATTATCATTTCTTTCATTAAATAAATACAATTTTTCAAATACATTAAAACAAATCTTTATTAAAATTTAGTTTAAAAACATTTCAAATTTATAATCGAAAGGAAAAAAGTGTAAAATAAATTGATATTTGTGTCATTTTGGTGGTAATTGTTTAGCGTTGACGGCGTTCCTATTTTTCTTAAGTTCTAAAACATAATAAATAGATTGAAATGAATTTAAATACCGTAACAATTATTATAAAATGTCTTACTATTCAATCGTTTGGACTCAGAAATGTGATATTCTCTGCATTTATACAAACGGACTAAAACCCTAAACAGATATACAATTATGTATTTTGTATGATTTAAACATTAAAGTGAATACAAACCAAAGCAATGTAATGAATACAAGACCGGTGTATATCGTGGCAAAAATCAGAGGCAATACATTGGATGGCATTTTCACAACAAAATCCGAACACTATTTTCCAGTTAACACTTATTCTAACAATTATTTTCCCAACAGTTTTAGTTCATATAATAATTCCTTTTTGTTGGCAAACATGCAATAATCAAATATGCAAATGAGCTCGCTCAAACACAACAATCAATTGAATTGAATTTAGTGAAAAACTGCATATTGAAAGCGCGCGCACGGGCTTGATTGTTGCACAAACATGATTGAATAGCAATTACAGTATGTATGGCCTCCCCAACGGGTTTAACGTTAATTTATATTTATATTATGTTTGGTTAGGTAAAAACAAAGTGGGGGTTGGGGCGGACACGCCATTGGGTTCTGTAAATTAGTATTTAAACAATTAATATTACAAATAACACACATTTATTCAACATTACTTGATTTTACAGTTAAATTAATTTATAAATTATAAAACCTTTACTCATATTTATTATGTAAATACTATCAAACCTATCAAAGAAATTAATTACTAGTTTGATAAATAAATTATACAATCATTTTATAAATATCGAGAATCTCTTAAATAATAGTGTATTTGAGGAATAAAAACCTAAAAACCAAATCAAACAATCCTTTCGTTAATATAATCAATAAAATCAATACATTTTTCAATGAATTTGTAAATAAATAGACAAAACTTAGTTTTAATTGAATGAATTCATGTGATGGATGAGCGCCTCCTTATTGACGGCCAACTCCTGCTTCAACACAAGGTATTCAAGTAGTCGTGCGTTGCGTTCGTCCACCAAATCTCGGGGACCGGCAGTGATGTGCGGAAACGGAAACAAATGCATTATAAATGTCGACATTTCGGAAACACTGAGTGCGTCACGTGAGTCACTGGCGGCCAGTGGTGTCAGTCCGGCCCGAGCCATGTCTTTGCGTAACGCTTCCAAACGACGGTTCGTTGAGTCAATACGATTGGCCAAAGTGTCCATTTGAAGCGTATAGTTGTCGACGAGTGGACAGTCATCAGCCGTTCCGATGGGTAAACTCATGATAACGTTGAATGTGAAACCGCCATTCGTTTTGCGCTCCGTTGCCATCAACACAGCCATAGTCTGTATGAGAGCGGGAATGGGTTCCGGCGCCGCACCCGTCGACTCCACGCCTTCGTTAAACACTTCCCTCTTTACTCTAATTCAGATTTTCAAACATTTAGATTCATTTTCAAAATACATTTCCAGTTTCAATACTTGTCCGCAATTTGCGATACGCTGTCGACTCCCATCGCATCCAGCGATGAGTTATTTGAATCATAACTAATATCCAAATCTTTAAATTTGTCCTTTAGTTCATTAATAACTAGAGAAGAGGTGTTCTCAATATCACTGGAAGTGTTGGTCACACTCGATGTCCGTCTCGACCGGTCGGCAGATGAAGGCGCGGCCGAAGTAACCGAACGAATACTCTTAATATACTCTTTATACCATTCATGAATATTTCTAATTAAAATATATGTAATTAAATAAATTAAATATTTGACGCAAAATATTATACGTTTTATAAGAGCCAAAACCAAAGTAATAAAGCGGTTCTGAGTTTGCGGACACGTCGGCAATCGCATCACTTTTAGCGTCTATTTCATCGACGGTCTCCTCATTCATATCCGAACAACTGATACCAAAATGTAGACAATAAGTCAAATAATATTGCATTTATTTAATTAATAATTACATAATAACTAAATCAGTAGTTGAGTTGCCATTAAG